CGTAACTTATGTGAAAACAGGGGGTGGGTGCTAGCCCAGGGAGGGGCGCGTGCCCGGGGTAATACGATAAAAGAAGGTCAGCCTTACAATCTTGTGTAGGAAAAATGTCCCACATGGTTGAGAGTTCAATGGAGATGTGCTTAGTCAATTTATCTACCCCTGTCAAACATCTAGCATATATACCATGGTTCCAAATACTTGTGTGTACTTTTTGTTCCAATGTAATATTGCTAAATTGTTCCAATGTAATATTGCTAAATTGTTCCAATGTAATATTGCTAAATTGTTCCAATGTAATATTGCTAAATTGTTCCAATGTAATATTGCTAAATTGTTCCAATGTAATATTGCTAAATTGTTCCAATGTAATATTGCTAAATTGTTCTTATCTTGTAGTCTCTTGTTTGTCAAGCAATTTGTTTCACAAAGAAAAATGTCATCTGCATATGCGACTTTTCTTACATATCAGTAACAAGACAAAATGCTTGGTGCATGTAAAAGCACAACACGTCTTTCAGCAATATTCACTATTGAAAAAAAACAGAATGAATATGATAAGTACATACTGTTGTTGTTGGCAAGTTGAGTTCAAGCTAGTTAGTATCAAGAAATTCGGTTCGAGGTAACCTTGAACCAGACAAATTGACTTTGGGATTAATAAACTTGTGGGACAAATAGAATTGGCACTAATGTTATTTGGTACGAATCAATCGAACACCAGGTACTCGGCTCCAAAAGTCTGAATTAGCATCCAGAATCCATATTTTATTTAGGTTGCTAACCTTACTTGTTTTAGTGAATATTCTTATCTTAAAAACGGCTACACTGATTTGATATTCTTTTGTCAAATAGGGAAGTTATATCAGATGACAGTGTAATTTTTAATTAGCAAAATACAATTAAATTACTTGAATTAGAAAATTTGAAATATGGTTAGTTAGCACCGATTCAAGAAAAACTTGGTGATTTACAATTTTTGAAAAGGTAAACTGAGTGTGGAAAAAGTATAAAACACCTTTCATGGTCTTTAAGAGGCTATTGTCAAATGTAATGACTGATTGATGTTTTCATATTTAACAGGTGCTGGATATGCAATGATTATCATCACTGGATTAACCACAATATATTATAATGTTCTCATTATGTATATATTGTATTATTTTATTGCATCCTTCACTGCCATTCCTGGTGTACCATGGTCCGAATGCAATAATGAATGGAATACACCCGCATGTGCCATTGTTCAGGACCATGCAAACATAACCAATAATAACACATTGTTGGTAAACACGTCGTATATAAATTATTCTCGCACTGACGTAAATGCATCATTTATGGTAACCTTGACAAATACATCTTTTCTACAACCAGTTACACCAGCTGAGGAATTCTGGAAGTAAGTAGAATACCGGTAGAATACAATAGAACATATTATTTCATTTTGCAATCAAATGAATTATTACCTCAACTGAAT